GGCTTTGGTTGCCCTCGCTTTGCCCGCTGTCGTGACGTTGGAAAAAGAACGAAGGTGGTGTGCCGGTGTCTAAGCGTCCGTAGCACAAGCACGATGTCGAAAGTTCGCATTTTGGAGTCAGGCTCCTTAGCCTTTCCGAGTCTCCGTTTTCCCATCTGTTGAATGGGGCCATTGCTGGCATTCTGGGACTCGCACATGGTAGATACCAATAAATTTTAACTGTTATTATAAAAATGTCGCCTTTCCAGAGTAAGGACTATGTTTCTGTTGCATAACAAGACCTGTCTTCAGTAGGAGGCTGTTTCTCTGTTGGTAGTAACCACCTGCATTTAGGGATACATACGGGACCTAATACGTGTTCTGAACTGATGGTAGTGTGTTGACAAAACCGTGGCAGTGATCTGCCTCAAGTAAAGGTTCGTGTATCTATTAGTGCATATCGGCTATTTCAGTGACACAGGTACTTTCTGTCAGTTCTTCAGAGTTCAGCCTTGGACTACTTTATCCAGAATATATGTAGCTTGGTGGTTGAGGCCCTGGGTCAGTCAGAGGCTGGGCCACTTACTAGCCAGATGCCTTTGAGGAAGTTAGCTCTGTCTCTGAACTTAAAAGGGGAAAATAAAAGTACCTGTGTTCGTGATATTTGCTCTCTGCAGCTCCCTTGCCAGTCTTGGATTAATTGCTTAGCTACCGTCATCTCTTTCCTACTCCATACTGCCCAGCAGTGGGCCCCTTTTTTACTTTTTTGCATTGCATTCTTTTCCTGTCTTAACCTAGTCCTGCTCCCTTTTGCCACTACTGAATATTGGACTCGGGCCTATAATGGGCAGGTAGGGATCTGCCTTATGAGTTTGCAGTTTTTATGTTAGGAGTGTCATGTGTTAATAAAAGGCCTTCCTTTCCAGTGGCACCACTGTCCCAGTGAATCGCAGTTGCTGAGATATAAGGAGGTCCTCTCCACTGACAGCTATAGCTGAATGCTGGGGAGGGGGTGGTCTGTGACGTATTCCCTGGGTCTGCTCTGAAGATCTAGGTGGAGACACCTGGGCGTTACCGTGCTGCTTGTGGGGGAGTCTGGTGGAACAGATTTTCCTTTAGGTTCATGCTGCTGTTAACGACCAGAGACAGAAGTACTGTTCTCACAGTGAGGTTCGTGGGGAAGAGATTTTGATGTGTTGAGATATCAGTTCTCAGGTCTTCTGCCCAGGATAAGACTTGTGATGAAGCAACTGAAAAGTGCTCATACTGTCAAACATAAAAGCTAATTCTCTAAAATGAGGCGCTCTAAACTTAAATTTTGTAAATTGGTGTCTCTTATTTATTCTTTGAATGATAGACATCCAGGGCTTGGGTTAATATGCACAGGAGAAAAAGTTTCATTGATGGTTTCTTTATAGAAAACAACCTCACTGTTAAATGCAGTCACGAAGATTATTACTAGCATATTCCATGTAAACACAATTTGAAAATAGAGCCTAAAGAGCTTCTTAATGAACATTTATGGAGTGCATACACTGTGCCCAATTCTGCACTAAACTTTATGGCGATATAAAGACTTGCTTAGATTTTGCTATGATTTGGATGTGGTTTGGGTTTGTCCCCACCAAAATGCATGTTGACTTCGTGTGTGCTGTAGGTAGTGACTTCTTGCTCTGGATTAGTTCTGGCGGCAGTGGGTGGTTATAGAGGGAGGTTCCTCCTCCTGTTTGGTCCTCTCTCTTCCCATGTGTCCACTTCTCCTTTGTCCTTCCCCACATGTTTTGGCCTAGCACCAAGCCTGGTGCCATGTTTCTTGTCCTTCCCAGCCTACAGAACTGTGAGCTAAATAAACCTCTTTTCTTTATAAATTACCCAGCCTCAGGTATTCTATTATAGCAGTACAAAATGGACTAAGGCATGGTGATATAAAGAATCTTTTATATTACCTCTGTGCTACCCCTGTTCCCTATACTATATAGGGTTTGTACTGTTGCACTTGTTGTACCATATTGTAACTGATTTGTTTCCATGACTTTCTTCCTTAGGCTTCTGAGTTTCTTACTTACAGGTGGAAACGGGTTTGCATTCCCCTTTGGATGCCCCACTGCTTGGCAGCATCTGGCCTGGAATAGGTGCTCAATGCATGAATGTGATTTAACTTGTCTAGCTTGAATAACATTTCATCTTAATCTATATACACCCTTAATGGATTTGGTATTGGAAAAAACTCTTCACTATGATACATTTCTTATCCGTTATCCAGTGGTTATTTTGTAGGTCAGGCGTTCCAGTGGTGGGGGAGGTTGTAACACAACATGAGCTCCAAAGTCTCTCCGGTCC